GGCCTCTCCCAGGCTTAGTCTTTTATCCCGTAAACGGGTGAATCTGTCAGCCAAGCTCTGCCAGCACCGGGCATGCAGGAGATTTCCAAGAAATGCCTTTTTTTTTCTTCCCCCAGAATACAGAGCTGAGCTTGTGCTGCCCTCTGCCCGGCTGAGTCCTCGCACCTTTTGTGGCCCAGTGCACCGCAGCCGGAGCGGGACTCTGCCTGCCCGGCTTCTGCAGCTCTCCCTGCCTGGCCATCAGGTACTGCGGTCTGACTGTGGGCCCTGGACCAGCCCCAGGCACCCAGCGTCTGCTCCATAGGCCTTGTTGAGTGAGTGAATGAGTGAGTGGGTGACTATTGGAAACTAGCTTCTCCCTCAAAGAACATGGCAGTTAGAGGGAAGGCCACATTGCCTGGATAGTGGTGGCTCCTTTCTTCTCTGCCTTGAAAACTCCTATTCATCCTCTATATGTGACACGGCACCAGAGTTAAGTTAGAGTTTTTCAAAATGCTGACACGCCGAGCTCAAAAGGTTCGCCATCACTGCCCTAAACACTTACTGTGGGCCCAATTCTAAGCACGTTCTCATTTTGTTCTCATAACTGCATGAGGTTGGTACTATTATTATCCCCATTTTACAGATGAAGGAACAGGCACAGTGAGGTTTTTGGTGACTTGCCCAAAGCCACACAGGGGGCGGGGGGGTGAGTGGCAGAACAGAGATATGAACTGGGCAGTCTGGCTCCAGTTTGTGCTCCTAACTGATATGCTATAATGCCTCTGTAATTGTAAAATTAAAGTAGGCACAATCATATTCTATTAGAAAACCAGAGGCCCAGTGCACAAATTCGTGCACAGGTGGGCTCCGTTGGCCTGCCCCCGATTGGGCTGATCAAGCTGGATGGCCTAAGGGAGGGGCCACAGGCAGTTGGTGGGCCGGCCCCGCCCCTGATCAGGGTGAAGTGGGGGGAACAGGGGTGGGGTTGGCCAGGGGGAGGGGCCTCGAGCGGTTGGCCAGCTCCACCTGCTGGTCGAACTCCCGGTTGAGGCGACAATTTGCATATTAGTCTTTTATTATATAGGGATGGGCCGGCCCCGCCCCTGATCAGGGCAATCAGGGGTGGGGTCGGCCAGGGGGAGGTTGGGCCTCGAGCGATTGGCCAGCTCCACCTGCTGGTCGAACTCCAGTCGAGGGGACAATTTGCATATTAGTCTTTTATTATATAGGATAATAAGTAATAATAATGCAATACACGCTAAGCATTATTAATAAAATAAATAAAACAAGCACTATTCTGAAATGTAGTGGGAATGGCAGTAATAATCGTAATAACAATTCCAGTGATTAAGTATTATTATAATGTTGTAACATTTTCCCAGCAGCAGCAGCAGAAATGAACCAGGTGCCGTTCCCGGTGGTCCAGCCAATTGTCTCAGCAGCCCCAGCTGCAGGCGGCGGGCACTGCCACTCATTCATTTTGGCTCCTGACACTTTGTGCTCTTACCCGTGTGGCTCGTGATGCCCCCAGCAGCCCCACCCTGCTGTGCCACCATCGCGGGCAGGCCCTGAACCACTCACCTGAGGGCTTGGACAAGGTTGAGGTTGGCGAACTCGTGGCAGTCCACAAAGGCCTGGAGGACCTGCAGGTTGATGGGGTCCCTGGGGAGGAGGCAGAAGGGAGAGTGGGATGCACTGGGGAACTTTCTGGTATGAACCACCTGGAGGGGATGGAGGTGGGGGAGGGACAGGAGGGGACAGATGTCCTCCTTCTGGGTCCAGCCTCTATCTGGCCTGCTCACATCTGTCTGACCCCACAGCACCCCCTCCCCCGGCCACACCCTGAAGGGTGGCTGGCTCGCTGGCCCAGCTCCACCCGGGTCCCTTGCAGTCCCAGCCCCTCAACCCAGCAGCCAGAGGGGTCCTCTCAGACACTCCTCTGTCCAGAGGCCCCCGTGGATCCCCACCTTGGCACTTACTACTTCCTCCCTCCTTCCTTTGCTCTCTTCCAGTCTTGCCAGCCTGCTGTTCCTCGTGCATGTTTCTGCCCCAGGGCCTTTGCACATGCTGTTCCCTCTGCCTAGAATGCTCTTCCCCTAGATGTCTACCCTGCTTTCCCCCTTTAAGTTTCAGTCGAACATCTTATCCATGCTAAAGTCACAGCCCTTGCCCTGTGGTCCCCAGCCCCGCTCACCTCCCGTCCCTGCTTTATTTGGATTCCAAAGAATTTATAATTTTCCAACAGGTTTTACATATTTGGGAATCTGTCTTCCCCATTGGAATCTGTCTTTCCCGAGGGCAGGAGTTTTGTCTCTCTTGATCACTGGTCTAAATCCGGGCTTAGAACAGTGCCTGGCATAGGATAGATACTAACAAATATCTACCTGTGGAAGGAAGGAAGGAAGGAAGGGAGGAAGGAAGGAAGGGAGGAAAGCAGGCTTTGGTTCAGCATCTGGAGGGAAGGGACAGCCTCCTCAAGCTGCAGGAGTTATGACTTTCCTGACATAATGCACCCCCTCACTCACCTGCACAGACACATCTACACTCACCTGCGCGCACACCCGCACACCCCATTCCCTGCCTCCCTCAGGCCCCGCCCCCTTACCTCTCCCCCAGGTAGGTGCCGATGGCCGTCTTGTTGAGACCCTCGCCCTTGTACAGGAACCGGGCAATGTCCTGGGCATTGGAGGTCAGCAGCTTGTGTTCAATGAGATACTGGATGCCCTGGACGTGGTACACAGAGCCATGAGCAGCCAGCCTGGGAGGAGGAAGGGAGGGAGCCCCCGTGGCCCAAGCCCCGGGGCCTGGCATCTGGCATTGGCACAGCCTGTTCTGGGAAGTTGTGTCCCTCCTTAATAGAAGCTGCCTGTGTAAGGTGGTGAGTTCCCCATCACCGGAGGCATGCAAAGAGAGACGGGGCGTCTGCCACAAACCAGGTTCATGCCAGGTGCTCCCCAGGGTTCCCCTCAGTCTGACACGCTTTGACTATAAGCGTCAATTATTCCATTGATTTAAAATGTTAAGATTCAGTGATTCAGCCATTCCCTTTGTCCCCTAAAAGTTCACATTATTTAAAAAGGCTGTTTGATTTGTTTTCTTGCAAGTAATCTCTGTCCGTTGCATAAGAATTAGGAAAACACAAAATCAAAAGGAGAAATTGCCCAAGCCCTAGCACTGGGAGGCAGACAGTTGCCATGGCGGCCTTCTCTCCCTTTCTAGATGGAAGTGGGAGCAGGTCACGTCTTTGCACCAAAACCTGCTTTTCTGATTTGACAATATCACAACGTCCCTCCCCACGACTCAGGCTCTCGGAGTCCATCCTTCTCATTTAGGCATTGGAGAGAATGCCCCTGGTTTTCTGTGATGGGTCCTTCATGTTCCTTTTGGTGAAAGAGGCTTCTGGAAGCTGGGGGGGGGCAGTTTGTGGGGGGCTCCGAGTGCAAGGCAGGGGGTCCTGGGGAGCCCTGAGTGGCCCTTTCCAGGTGCTCGGGCGGGGAGTGTGAGTGTGAGTGTGTGTGTGTGTGAGTGACCACATTGTTTATCCATTCATCGATGGATGAACACTTTAGGCTGCTTTCATGTTTTGGCTATTGTAAATACTGCTGCTATGAATATGGGTGCA